TTAATAAAATTATTTTTATATTATTTTATAAATAATAATTTAATAATTTTTACTTCTTCTCATTTATTTTTAGTATATTTAATTTAATTTTAAAATTTTTTAATATAAATTTTAGATTAAAATTTAAGTATTATATAAATGATAATTAAAAAAATCTTTCAATCAAATTAAAATATTTGATAAAAACTTAAAAGAAAAAAAATTTTCAATTGTATATATAAGGGACAATATTAGGAAATCACCCTCCATCCAGTAATTTTATTTATGCAGTTAGTTTTTTTCTGTTCAAATAATTTGCTTGTTAACTTATTTAAGATATTTTAATATTTTCATTACATAAGTACAGAACATTTTCATTTTTTTGGTTATTTGTTCGTTTTTGCAAAGAAAATATATAAATATATATATATGAGAAAAAAAATATCCATATTTTCCGTGGATGGTGGTATAATCACGGGAGAGTCCAAAAATCCTAGAGCGGACCGGTAGATTTTGACCCATCTCAGACCTCAAAACGACGTCGTAACGCCCAAATCGTGTCAACCCCATCCCGCTCGTCATCTTCATTAATTTTCTTAATCCTCCCTCCCTTTCCAACAAATCGGAATCACATTGCATTAGTTTATCGAATCAGTGCTCCGTTTCATTCAGAATCGCCGTGTTTTCTGCAAAATTTGATTGAAAAAGTGAGTACGAGATGTCTTCGTGGTTCAAAACGGCGGTGAGCAAAGCAGTGGAGGCTGGGAACAAAAACAACTTCACGCGAAACATCAAGAGTGTCGCCGACACCGTCGCTCACCACGCCGGCCAAGCCGTAGCTGAAGGAGCCAAAATATTTCAGGATCGCATTGTAACGCCTCTATTCTTTTTCAATTTCTCGGTTAATTTATCTCCAATTTCTCGTTGACCTTTCTTCTGTTGCTTTGCTCTCTGACTTCGATTGATTCTGTTTTTCATTGCTGATTAAGTTTTAGAAGACAGAGAATGCAATTCAGCTAGAACTGCTTGCATCTTGAATGTTTGGAATTGTATTTGTTGGACTTACTTAAGTTGCATAACTATGCAGGCAGCTCGGAATGTCCGAAGCGTAAAGCAAACCATAAGAAGACTCGAGGAAGCGGCTGTCTCTTGTAGAGGCTCTGAAAGAGTTATGTTACTGAGAAGATGTTTGGCTGCGCTTAAGGAAGTTGAAAAGTATTATGGATCTTCATCCGAAGATAAACCAAAGAATCTTGAAGAGATTCTTGTTTCTGAAGATGCAAAAGAGAATCCAAAAAGACCAGTTTTGGTGAGCTATCTGTGTTTTATGTACTAGTGTTTATTACTAAATTTATTTCTCATACTTCATTTCCTTAAATCAGTCCAGACGAACTTTTGTTTGATCTCTGCTCATCAGGAAAATACTAGAGTCTGATTTTGCCTAGTGAACCTATTCTTAGGTAGTCCATTGTTTCTATTGAATCTATTTGTTTTGATCCTTTAATGATGTTTTAGGTGTTGTATTATGATGAGGATGTTGGTGGTATGCCTGTGACTTTTCGTGAGGTTTTTCTTCAAAGCCAAGCTTTGGAGGGCATAACAATATCTTCGGTATGTTTCACTGTATTTCTTTAAACTTACTTTGATATGAACTTCTTATTTATAGTTAGTTAAAGATGGTTTAGAATCTTTATTAGATCTCATATACTTGCAAAACAGTTTTTCCTGCATGCCTAATTTTCTTAAACTTTTTGCAGTTTGACTAATTGTTATTTTGTGGTGTTTTCAATACTTGCTGTCTATAAAATATGATAGAAAACAATCATCATTTTGTGAAAAGCTTGGTTGGAAAATCTAAATGGATTTTTGGGTTTTTGGAATTTATGGTAACAAGGTTAACGCATGTTAAGTCTTTTCTGTGACTCAGATTCTTGAAGCACCAAATGATGAAGAAATCACTCTGCTGCTGGAGGTGTTCAGGTGAGTCTACTGCAGGACTGTTGCTAAATCACAGTCAGAGATCCCAATATTTAGGTGTTTTCCAGACAAAATTAAATTGGAAATGATTTTAGTCTTCTTGGAAGATTAGATTGATCACACCTAACATGATGGTTGAATGGTTATTTTGTGCATCTTCTATGGTGAAGTGAATGAAAAAAGTTGCAAGTATTTAATAAATGGCCTCATATTTTAATTGGATTTGAAATTTTCTGTAAGTAATATAATCATGTGCAGGCTCTGTCTCACTGGAGGAATGGAAGTTCACAATGCTATAGTGAGCAGCATACAGGATCTTGCTACAGCTTTTTCCATCTACCAAGATGAAGTGCTGGTAAAAGAGTGAAATATAATGCTTAGACTTCAACCTCCTTCACATTTTCACTCCTCCTTAATTGGCATTTTGATTGTGATATTCTTTTTCTTAAAAAATGTGGTAAAATAGGTGAAACGTGAAGAATTGCTTCAATTTGCACAAAGTGCCATTACAGGGTTGAAAATCAATGCAGATGTTTTAAGGTTGTAAGATCAGGAGCTTTCTTTTTTCTCTTATACCATTTTTCGACTCTTCTTATACACACAAATTGTGTTTAAGGCAATTGTCCATCCTTGAGATCATGCAAACTCATTATTGTTGTTCTTGATGCTGATGGAATTTCCTCTTTAAACTTTGTTCTGTAAACACAGTGTTTTCTTTAAGAGAGAAGTTGCTCTCTTTTATCGGCATCTTGGCCCATATCTGCAGTCTTAAGAAACATCTTGTTCTGCAGTAAAAACTGAAGCACTGGAAATCTTTCTTGCCACCCTTTCCTATTTAATGATTCTTTGAGAAAATTAATAATCTTGGAATTCTATTTGGAGGAACCTTATTTAGTTTTTCATAAATTTTTATTTATAGTTTAAGAAGTTGACTTCTTATATGTGAACTCAGATCCATCAACCAATGAAACTTGGGAAAATTTCATGACATTGATATTTGAAGAATTTTCTCCTCTTAAGAAAGTAGGAGCATGTTGCTGTCTTCTGCTATGGATATTCAATTATACTATACCTAATTGTGAGAAAAATTAACTGTCCTTTTTCGGTCTGTATGCTTTCTGGTGATAGAATGAATGTTGAAGCTTCTAATTTAAAGAAAAAGCTTGATGGAATCAGTAGCTCCCAGAAATCACCAAATGAAGGCGAAGACAAAGCACCTGAGAGAACTCCTGTGACCATTGAGGTGAGCTTGGTTTGACTAATGGTAACATTTGCAGCCCTTTATTCCACATTCCCTCCTTTCCTCTCCCACCTTGTCCACATCTAATAACAAGGACTGTGTTACTTTTAACAGAATTGAAATATATTTTACTTTTGAGGCTGAAGTTATCAGGAAGCAAATGTTGATATATTAAAAATATTTCCTCTTTTCCAAGAAGGATAGAAACAATGGAACTTGACCACCATATCTTTATGGTAGGCTCTAAAAGAAGCACTCACGCAAATTCGGCTCTGTTCCCAATTAGAAGGCATTTTACTGAAAAAGAAAGTTCTGAACAATGGAGACTCTCCGGAGGTTCATGCTCAGAAGGTATGGTCTCTGCAATCTTATTTCTCTGGTTATGTATTAGCAAGGTACTTGATTTAAGCTCCTTTACTCTTGTAATGGTAATTTTCTCCTTCTGTTAAAGTTTACTTTCATTTTTCCTTTTTAATCAGCAAGTTTACTTCCAATTATCTGGTCTTGACTGTGTCATCTATGAGACTTGCCAGCTCTTTTTCTAGTTAAGACTTGCTAATGAGAATGGAGTGCCTGTTTTGGTAAATGTTGCTAAGTTTCACAGGGCTAATATATGAGCTGTATTATTTCGTTTGTATGAGCAGGTTGATAAGTTGAAGGTCTTATCAGAGTCTTTAGCTAACTCCAGCTCAAAATCTGAGAAGCGAATTTCAGAACAGAGGTGCAAAATAAATTTCTTGGAATTATTATGTCAACCTTTCTGGCCTATCAGAAAATATCAACCATTTTGCTGTTTTCATGGCTGGTTATAATTTATTTCTTCCATAATGATTCAGACTTCAAAAGGAGGAGGCATTAAAAGTTCGTATGGCAAAAGCAACTGAAGCTCATGAAAGAGAAAAGGTAATATACTTCCTCACTCACGTTTTTTGTCCATGCCGTAGCTGCTAGATTAGAAAAAAGGGATTATAATGTTCTAATTTTAGATTAGAATGCAACAGTTTGGCTGCTGTGAGTTATCTCTGGATTATAGCTTCTCATTTTATAACAATCTTATAAGCCATACATTTTCCATTGGAAACTTATAAAACTAGTTAGCTGTCTTCTAGGATTGTGTTCATTTTGCAGTTTAACCTTGTTTCTACCTAGTTGATGGTATCCGGTGGAGTGTTACTATGCTTACAAAGTAATCTCCTTTGGAAGGCCATGTTAAAATCTCTCTTGGGCCTGTTTACTTCAATGTCCTATACTCATATTGGCATATCAAGATGTATGGTTCCCTAACTTTCATTGCTCATGCTACTGTTTTGTTGCAGCTAATAAACTAGAGGGTTTCATATGAAGGAGTCAACAAAGCTTTTATTATGTTTTGCTTTTACAATGAAAAAACCCTTTTGATTGAACTAGTAATTGCCAAGTGTCATTTCCCTGTAGTAGTCAGTATGTGAATTTGGTAGTTGCATGTTTTGATAGGGTTGTTTAAGTTTAGTTTTCAATGATGGATCTCCAGGAAATAGCAGCTGAAATTTCAGAGCTTGAAAAGAAGAGGGATGAACTTGAAGCTGAACTGAAAAAGGTTTTCTACTTAATTTTTTATGTTTTTTGTTTTTAGTAATTTATGATAAAATATTTGCATCTTTATGATGTGTTTGTCTTATTTAGTTCCCATTTTCCAAGTTTGTAGTTTATTATTTTAATTTTCGTTTTTAAAGTTTGCAATTTTATCTGTTCTTTTTTGTTTTGGCCAAGTTGTTTTATTTGTTTGCACACTGCATTTACTGGTTTATCTGAGTATGAAACAATAGTTTGCTGAAGCAGTTTTCTTTTTTGGATATGTTAGCTAAGGTAACTGATAGTTATTTTACATCAGCACTTAAAACTTTTATTTGATTAGAAGGAAGGTGCTTTGTGCTTATTTGACTGGGAAGAAGGTGCTTTGTGCTTGTTATTTTTCCAATGATGAAGTAGCAAAGTTTCTTGGGGAATCATGTAACTCATGTACACGTGGAAGTCTTTATTTCTTATTCAATTTTAAGGTTTTGAATTTCTTTTTCTTTTTTGGTCTCAAAAACTCCCATTGGCATTTGACTACCTCCCTTTTTGTAATTCTTTTTCTTCATTATCTACATCCTGAACATGTTTGAAGCTCTCACAAATTTGACAGATTGCTCAACTTGTTTTATAGGTTCTAAGCCTTATTTATGTTGTTTTAATTTGACCAAGAGTTCTAAGTAGGAGTAATTTATGTAGGTTTATATCTCGCTGGCTACCGCTAATGCTCGTCTGCGAAATGTGAAGGAAGAAAGAGATCAGTTTGATGAAGCTAACAATCAGATTATTGCACACTTAAGCACAAAGGTTTGGACATTTCTTCCTAAATTTCTGATAATTCAAAGAAAGCTATGATGTTCACAGACCTCTGCATTCATGATCATTTTCTGGCTTTACTATTCTCTGATAGCTGAAAATCTTTCTGATTTGTTGATAGGAAGATGAACTATCAAAGTCAATTTCTGCATGTCGAGCAGAAGCAGAGGTTCTTAGTACTTGGATTAATTTTTTGGAAGATACTTGGGTTCTTCAGTGCTCGTATGCAGAAACTAAGAACAAGCAGGTCAAGTATGTAATCTAACTTTCTGTCCTTATTTTTTTCAATTACGATTAGATTTCTGGTCAGCAATATCTCAGGATATGTTCCTTGTACCGTGGGGAAATTTCTGTATTCTGTTCTTTACCCTATTTTGTGTGCCATGTATTCTTACTTGAATACTGAGTTCCTTAACTATCTGATTGGTATTTGTTTGAATTTTCAAGTGATGAATTGGAGAAGCACGAGGATTATTTTGTTAGTATGGCTCTTAATCTCCTCTCTGCTTATAAGGTACCCATACTGTTCTGTTTGAAACATATTTATTCAGATTGTCTAAAGCTGTAAATTATTCAGTCTCTCAATCTCTCTCAAATCCTACTCTTTGCAGGAAGAGCTGGGCCCTTCCATCAGTCGTATTGAGAAATTTGTTGACAATCTGAAGAAGTTGAGTGAGAGGTAATCTGCACTGTTCAATGTAAATGGTTCCCAGTTCTGACCTTATTTGTTTGTAACTGCCAATTTCTTCTGAGTGATAAGACAGGTCAGAGATGATGGTTGCTAATGATGATTCTAAGGAATTAAACCCAAGGAAACCTCTTGAGGAAGGATATCTTGAAAATGAAGCCAAGGTATAAATTTGTTTCCTATTTGTATTCAATGGCATTTAAAGAAGTTTTTTTTTTCTTTAATTTACCACTACCATATCATGAGTTGTTTGTGTTCTACAGAAACTCCCTGTTCTTTCCCTCCCTGTAGCTCATTTCTAAGTTTGTTGTACATCATCACATGGTTTCACCCAGTTCCAAAGTTCTGCTTTCTCATTCATTCTCTTAATTATCTCCCAATTTATCCTTGGAAATTTGTCAAATAAAAATTCTATAGCGATTTGCTTTATGGTTTTTAGCTCTTGAAGAAATGTTGTTATGGCATTTGATTGCGGAACTATCTATGTATCGTTCTATTGTTTCAGATAATAACTACCTTCAGTGTTGTGGATAACATGAAAGCGCAGTTCTATTCTCAGAATTTGGCAAGTTCCAGGTAAGGCATTCCTCTTATTTGCGTTCATTCTTTGTTTTCTTATATACCTCCCTTGGAATTCCAATTCCCTGATGTGTGTGGACGCTTGACTTCCTGCTCCCTGATACAGGAAGGATGCACCAAGGATCAAAGGGCTATTGGATGAAATTGAAAAATTAAGAGGAAAGTTTGAATCTATTGAGCGGCCAAATTTAGAAATTGAAGCACCACCAGGCCCACCACCAGAAGCTGATGCTCCATCTAGCGAGAAACCACTGGGAAGCCCATCTGCTGCCCCAACATTGGCGTCAACGCCTAAACCTGATAAAGAGGGAAATATGGACAATCCCACAGTTGGGACAGAGCCTGTACTAGATCATGAAGCAGAAATAGCAAAACTAGAGTCCGAGTTTGGGAAAATTGGTCGAGACTACTCAACTGAAGAGATCGGTGACTGGGAGTTTGATGAACTCGAAAGAGAGTTAAGAGATGGGGGTGATTCAGCTCCAAGTAAATAGCACAATCACCTGTAAACTGCTATCCTTAATTTAACACTGGCAAGCATGTGTAGTTAAGTGTGTTGTGCACAAGTACCTCCCAGAAAGCTGCATTTTATTAGATTATAAACCTGTATGTTGTATCATCTGGATGGAGTTTCCATTTGTTTATTCTTCTGTAAATACTTAAAAAGTGTTGTAACATGGAATTGATGAAACCCATGAATAGTATAAGTATACTTTTTATATTTTACACGATTCATGAGAATCTTGTAGAGTATTTTGAAGACGCACAACATTAGCGGTTATTCATACAAGGTCTATAGGTTGACTATGGCATTGACATATGGTGAAGGATGAGATAGCTACATGAGCAGTAGTTGTTGAATATCTCGAGCTCAATTCCAGGGATGAATGACGAGAGGGGAGTTTGAATATTTTCAAATGGATGAGAATAGATTTACGAAGGAAAGTTAACAGTTATTGACAAGTCCATCAGATATAAGGAAAAAAATGGTGAGAAAAAATTACAGTTAAAAGAGAACAGAATGCCCCAATCAAATTTCGAATCTTTTCTCCCATTTGTGAGGTGGGTTTGGGGTTTGGCCATTTTGATCTGGTATTTCCAATTTGATGCAAGAAATTGGATTTCTTTGATTGATTAGGGTTTTATGTTGCAGTATTGATTTAAAAAATCATTACACATTGTTAAGGACTGGATCGTGTAAATTCGACCTTTTTAGGATTTGGGTATTAATATTGCCCTAATCAAGGCAGAGATCTACTTTTGGTTCCCTCCTTTTATGCGTCTGTTAAACTGGATCTTCCTTTTGGTGATTCTTCTGCTTCGAGTACCGCTGTTGATGATTTCAGGGGGGAAGAAAGAACACTGTGTTTCTGAGAGAAATTTCCCTTGATTGCAATTTACTAAGGTTTGTGAGTCTCATTGTTTAAACATTTCATATCATTGGAGCATGCTCTAAATATAGTGCCCATGAGATTTTAAAGGGTGGGATATGTGACCATGTCAGGCAACTTTTTGTGTTCGGAGGAAAAAAAAGGGGTTGGGGGAATAAAGTCATCCTAGTGTTGCTCTTTAAAGTAGATTTTTTTGGTAATATTTAATTTAATTTTGATGAATTAAGGCTGATAAAAAAATATGATGAATTAAGTTTTTTTTGGATATTGGATTACAACATAATAAGTAACTTTCTTTAATTTCATTATATTCGACATATTATATAATTTTAATTTTAATTTTTTTAATAAAAAAATTATATTAAATTATTTAAATTTTTGACCATTGCTAAATTTAGTTGTTCTTTTTTTTTGAAAATTTTATATTGCTTTTCTCTTTATTCTTGAGGGGCCAAGAATCAAATCATAGACCTATCAATCAGTTCTTTATGGAAATATTTCATATTTAATATACTTAGCTGTCTCTTGCATTCATTCTGTTCCGATATGATTACTTTCCAATAAATTTCATTGTTTTGGTTAGTTTGTCCAATTCACCTTGCAGGGAGGAGCCGAGTGGATCTTTTGATCCAAAGTGTGACACTAGAGATCCCTTTACCTTTTCTTTCTCTCTCTCTCTTCTTTTATTTATTTATCTATTTATTTATTATTATTATTATTTGTTTCATTTTTCTGTTTTCATATTGATTACTGTATAATTAGACTTGAGGCTGTCTGGATTCTACTTGTATTTGAGTACACAGCAAATCGTTCCGTCACATGCACACACAAGTATCTAGTTGTGTAGGTCTCAACATGCACAGTAAATAATGTCAGATTTAACAAGATTTAATGATTTAAGTCTGACATATGATACAATCTCTCAAAAAGATCATAACTCTTTAAAAAAAATCAAACTTTGTCATTAGAAGGATGTTCGTAGTTAGTGGAATTGTGAGTTTTATATTTTGCCATCACATGTTTGGGAAGAGTACACCTAACAAAGTTCGGTTGAAGGAGGTTTAGCAACGTTTTAGTCCTGGTTGAAGGAGGTTTTTTCCTGTTAATGATCTGGAGAGAGATGCTGCTTGTTATAATGCCACAATAATTAGCTTATTAGTTGTTGAGAGCAGCGAGAATTGCAGTCTTTTCTTGGCAGACTCCTCAACTACAGAACATATATGTTTTTCTAATCTCATTGGAAACTTGAGTTCTATTTGGTTTTACTTTGGTTTTTTGGGACTTTTGCTTTTTATTTTTTATTTTTAAACAACGAGACAGCAACCATTGATGGAAGGGGGTACCACCCCATTTAAATGCTTTTGCCCTCATCAATGATTTTAAGATGTGCACCCTGCCCCCAATTCTCTGTTTAACAATTGTGATTTTCATGTTTCATATAATCACAAGCAAGCAATTTCATGCTGCAATATTTGGAAGCTAGAAAAGGCTTAAATGGCATTGCATAAAAAAGGGCTTTATCTTGTATTTTTATATTTAGTGCTATGATTGTAGTTGCAATGTCTATTTAATTCGTATTTTCAGATTTCATAATATTTAAGAGTAATGGTTTTTTAATTATATTTTTATATTTATTTTTTTATTGTAGTTGCCGTGGACTATGTCAAATGAAATTGTATGTGTAATATTAATAAGAAGAAGATTTTTTGTACAGGTTTCCATACAAATACTTTTCTATAAACATTAATGACTTTAATGACTTCTAATTGTTTTATGTTTTTTTCTTTATTACAACTAGCTTTTTATTTCTAATTAATTTAATTTGATTTTTTTTTATTATTTGATATAAATTCTCTAGTTCCAGTTTTTACTCTCTCTTTTCGGGGAATTACATTCAAAATTCTCTCCAAGGAATCGCAAATATCCCCAGTTTTATTTCCCTTTTTCTGTTTCAAGTTTTCACTTTTTGTTTTTATTTTTCTGATTTATTTTCATTCTTTTATTTTTATTTTTATTTTTTTCCCGTGATACCAAATGATACTCTAAAGTTTCCCACTCCCATTGAGCAAACCTGGAATCATAACACAGCAACCCAACAAAACGGTGTCATGTAAAAATTTTTCATAAAAATATAAAAATTTTTCAACCCAATAAAAATTTTTATTTTATGTTGTTTATTATTCATGCATTTCACTCCTATTGTTTCTGTTTTTCTTACCATGTGAGTGATAAAAACATCTGAAAAATATGAATAGACCCCAATTGGGCTTGAATCTGTTATCTATTCATGAAGTATTAAAGCTGGGCCTTGATTGGGGGGCATAAGCCCAATCAGAGGCCCAAAACAACTCTGAAAGAACTAGAATGTTACGGAAGTTTACAGAACTTTCTGCAACGTTTCTCTTCCCTTCTCCAATTGAAATCTTTCTTTGAACATCAACGGAAGTATTAGAGAGTAGAAAGTACCAGAATCTTCTCTTGCATCCTCTATAAATAAGAAACCCATTTCTTACATTCTTACATCGAGACAAGAATCAGCTCGAAACAACAGTTTCAGAAACAAATATCAAATCTTCCAGTATCTTACTCTTTCAAATCAACACAAAGATGGCACTGATTCCTAGCATTTTGGGTGGTCGAAGAAGCAACGCTTTCGATCCCTTTTCTCTGCATTATTGGGACCCTTTTGAGGGCTTTCCATTTTCCAGCACTCTTTCCATTTTACCATCCTCTGCAAGCGAGGTCTCCTCATTTGTGAACACCGGGATTGATTGGAAGGAGACCCCAGAAGCTCACGTTTTCAAGGCTGATCTTCCAGGGCTTAAGAAGGAAGAAGTGAAGGTGGAGATCGAGGATGGGAGGTTGCTACAGATCAGTGGAGAAAGGAGCAGAGAGCAAGAGGAGAAGAATGATAAGTGGCACAGGGTGGAGAGGAGCAGCGGCAGGTTCCTGAGAAGGTTCAGGTTGCCGGAGAATGCTAAGATGGATCAAGTTAAGGCTAGCATGGAGAATGGTGTGCTTACGGTGACGGTCCCTAAGGAGGAAGAAAAGAAGCCAGAGGTTAAAGCCATTGAGATCTCTGACTAGATGCAATATCCAATCTCTGTTCGTGTTTATTATTGTTATTTTCTGAGATTGTGAACAGAAAGTATGTTGCAAACAATGTCTTTATAATCTTGAAATTGTATGAATAATAAACAATATAAATTGAATCTGTTCTTGTTCCAATGCCAATTTTTTTTTTTTTGATTTTCAATTTTGGTTATTTGTCTGGCCTTTGTGTTATGTAATCCGAGTGCAAAACAGAAATTATTAAATTGGAACACAATCTTAATATTAATATTAGTATATTTTATTTAATAATTTAAATTATCCATTTTAAATTAAAAAAACTTTAAATTATGTATTTTAAATCGAAAAACATGTACTTTTTGTTTGTTTAATAGAATTTGGTGGTAATGGGTTTTTATGACTGTCAGTTTGTTTCTCTGATTCAAAGTAATAGGAAAAAAAATGTGTTTTTTTATTTTTTTTGCCCACTTTTGGAATGGCCTCTCCAACTTAGGTACATGTAAAATATGTAAAACAGTTGTTAAGTCACAATTGCATTATTTTCCTTGCAAGATATGGGACAAGATTAGGAATGTGGGGCTTTTGAAATCGTTGGCAAAGTTGGTTTATGGCGAACCGAATGAGAAAGCACAATAGCTGCCCATATTGAAAAGGTTACCTAATATAGAAGTTGAGAACTGTCTCTTCTTTTGAAGAGCAGCATCATTTGCCAGGGCCTCCATTGCCTTCAACACAAGAGTACAGAATTAAGTGGGCTGGGAAGCTTTCCACCAACAATCCTTTTCAGAACCCACTTCCAAAATGACTTGCTAAAAAGTTTTTGCTTGAAACTGTGCAGTTTTGTTGTTGCAATCTCTCTATTTGGCTGGTGCTGGTTGGATTCCGGGCATTGGAGGCCCTTGGGGTCGACTCCGATGTGCTCTGTTTGTCAATCTCTGAACCAATAACAGTACGCTACATTCCTGATTTTCTGGCTGGTGGGTCTATTGGACTGGTGCATGAAATGTATGGCTGTCCTTTGCTCATACTTTCTTTTGTTCATAGATGAGTCGGAAAAAATCTTTGTTGGATACCTGAAATTGAATGTCAAAAGCATCTCCTGATGGTAAGAAACTGAACACTTTATCCTTGCCAAATTCATAGATATATGTGCTAACCTCAATTATCACACACGCTGCACATCCTTCTCTTCTGTCCCTCTAAAGGACTGAAATGATCGAGGAAAGAATAGAAGAAAAAGCTTGCATCTCATTCAATAAATGAATCAATGGAATTCCTATAATTAAGACATGATAATAGGATATGTCTGCTTTAGCCTTTAACATATGTGTATTAAGTTTTTACCAGATCAAAACTTCTTCTTGTTTATTCATTAACCCCCGTGTGTGATGATTAACAAAAAGATCTTTGATTACAGCTCATAATACTCTATGACTCAATGATTAATATTTTAATAAATTTCCAATCCCCATTAAACATTATAGACCACCAGGATTCATGGACTACGTGACAGCTTTGCTAGTTGCTCCTAACAGGACACATGATGGTACCTCGAATATAGCTAAAGGACTAATTAATACCAAACAGCAGTTTATAAAGATTGTTTTATGTTTCTTAGAGAAGGGAACAATCTGCGGCAAACAGTTATAAATTTTGGGGAAAGGAAGTGGTTAAAAGGAGAAAAGGAAGTGCATAAACGTGTGGGGACTGCATTAAAAGGAAAGACAGAACAAAAGTCTCGATCTTCGCAGGAATTTCATCCACAATTCCCTTCCCCCACCACCATAAAATGTCGGATCATCATCTGTTATTTTCTTTGTGAAGTCAACAGCCCAAAAGATACTTCCAAAAGCTTTTCATCTAAAATGTCTATGGATAAATTGAAGTATGGAAATTAACAACCAAAAAGGATGAAAAAATGGGTCTAACAACATAAATCAAGGAAATTTTTATGGCGAAAACAATCATCAAAAAGTCATAGAGGATTTGCCAACAAAGTTGAAAAACAAACCCAGGAATCCAGTAAAAGTAGTAAAACCGGGTAAAGTATAAAGTGACTCAATCTCTAAGCATCTCTTTACTTGGCAAATGTATCAGTTAGTTACACGGTTGCAGACAAAAGTAAAAGCAAACTAGTTAAAATATTGGATAAATGCAGGAAACCAGGTTTTGAAATAAGGGCTGCTTTCAGAAGAGTTTGGTGAGTGTTACAGAAGATGCCAGAAATATCTCAATTATTTTCTTCAGGCATGCTTTCAACTCATGAAAAATAACCAATAAAGACAAAATGCAATATGGAAACGGACTCCTAGTGATACATAGATAATTTATCCACTTCCTCAAGCATAATAAAAATGGGGGTATCTTAACAGACACTTTAACAAGTTTATCATAAAAGCAAGTGTATAAAAATTAGGTTTGATAGCAGAGGTTGCCATGCGAACGCACATCTTACCATCATTGATGAAGGTGGAATCACTTCAATATCAAGGAGCTCACCTCTTTTCAATGGTTATAGAATGTGTAGAGGGACTGCACATCATTTTTCTATTGATAGAAACTCATCTTAGGAATATCTTGTCCTTCCAGAGCTTCTGTTCACCTAGATGAATGCATTTCATCTGAGAAGATTTCACTTGTTAGATGTTAATCAAAATCAGATCATTTTTGAACTCCTGTTACACTAAGGACAAACAACCAGTCTCCAAATTTTGCAGTATCTTAATCATAGTTTTAGGTCCTCATTAAGAATCAGAAAAGTAGCATTAGCCCCAAAAAATAATTAAATCCTAATGATGTCAGCTGCAGTGCTGTGCAAGAAATCTGAGCCTCCATGGTAAATAAAATATACACCATAGTTCAGATTATAAGTCATTAATGAATCTCTTTGTGTTTTTAAGAACATCTAAAACGCAGGGGCCTCAACAATTTGATATGTAAAAGCAACAAGAAAGGAACCACAATAAAAAAAAAAAAAGGTTCAAGAAAAAGGGAGTTCACAGACATCACTTAGTGCTGTCCCATTAGACAAATTCCTGTAGTGCTCTGTATTTTATATTTGGAAGCATTTAAAGATGTGCAAACATTCTGATCAATACCACGCCCGTAGTGATTTCTTTCCATACCTTGGCCTCATCAACACTATAAAAGAATGCACTTCCCTTCATTTCCCTGCCATAAATCTAAGTTCCCATAAGCAATATTCCACACACACACACACAGAGAGGGAGAAATCTACCTTAAAAATACAGTCTAGTACCTGAGATGGCAGTGAATCTCCCATCCTATGATCATGCAGATGAAGACTACATTGACATGGAAATCAGTTCGTTCCCCAACTCGTTCTGCCACTCTGTGTGCTCCCCTCCTCACACCAGAGAGTTTGAATTTCAAATGTCTTCAAGCTCTATGGAGAGAGAGCCCACAACTTCCCCAGCTGATGAGCTTTTTTACAAAGGGAAGCTCCTTCCCCTCCACCTCCCTCCACGACTACAAATGTTTGAAAAGCTCCTAGAAAACTCGAACTCCATTTATGAAGACAACAAGGATAACTTTGATGAATTCTATAGCACCCCGTTAGCCACTACTCTCACTACACCAACGACAACCAGCACTCCCTTTGAATCCTGCAATATCTCACCTTCTGAGTCTTGTCAGGTTAGTAGAGAGCTGAACCCAGAGGAGTATTTCTTTGAGTATCCATCAGATGAAAGTGGCTTTATAGGTGAACACCCAAAAAAGTCTTGGACCAAGAAGCTTAAGCTGATCAGGCAGTCCTCAATTGGATCAAAACTGAAGGCTTCCCGGGCTTATCTGAAAGCTTTATTTGGCAAATCTGGTTGCTCAGATGAGTCCTGTGCGGCCGCAGCAAAAGTTGCAGATGAAGGATCAATTGCACAAGCCAGAGAGCGTCAGGATAAGTACATGAAAGCAGCCAAGAAAAGTCCAATCGGACGGAAAGAAAAATACCAAATTCCAACTGCTTCCATGAGGAGTTTTGACAAGGCAAAGATAACAGAGGAAAATGCTGGCCACCATAGGAGATCATTCTCGCTAGCTATCAAGCGACATCCAACAAAAAGGTTCTCACCCGTTTCATCGTCATCAGACTCTTCTTCATCTTCGAGCTCAAACTACTCAAATCGGTTTCATGCTCTGCAATTTCTCAAGAGAAGCAACAGTATGAATTCAGAGATTGAAAACCCAATTCAAGGAGCAATTGCACATTGCAAACAGTCTCAGTAGCTGATGCTTTCTAGAAAGGCTGTAGCTGTAAGTGAAGTTAGCTTTTACTCATTTTCAGCTTCCAGCAAATCTGTTTGTGAAGATCAAGAGAGAATGCACCCCTGCAGGAGCTGAAAGAGAGAGAGAGAGAGAGAGAGAGAGAGAAAGAGAATCATGCCAAAATACCAATATTAGTTTGGTGTCTGATGTGTTTCTTTTTTCTTTCATAATGTTATGTTATCATGGTTATGCTTCTGATTCAGGGAAAGAAAAAACTATACACGACCGTCCTGAACTGTTAGACCAGAAAAAATTACATAGGAGCAAGACTAAATTGGGGTTCCATTGTACATGCAACAACAGTTTCCTTCCTTTAGATGAATGTGGTTTTGTTTTTTTGTATTTTTTTTTTGTTTTTAGCTCAAACAACACAACTGAAACACATCACAGAGAATAACAATCCCGGTGATTTTTTTTTTTTCCCCTTTCTTTTTGGCCGAAAACAATCTTGGTTGAATTTCCTCGTGTTAAACCAAACCAGTAGTCATTTCTAAGATGATACTATCATTCAAGCACCATTTGTCTGATTCCATAAGAAAACCATTGTTGTAAATGCTTTCTTTCACTTAGCAGACTTGAAAAGTTCAGCTTTGATAGTCCAATCTTTGAGACAATGAGTAAGAACACAGTGAATAATGAATCAGAGATAATTTACATCAAATTCAAAATTCAGGAATATCTTCAGCCTGTGAATCTGTCAATACTGATGATAAATTTATAAATTCCCCTTAGCCCCAGTCATAGACACCGTGTGAACGTAGGCTCTTATTCACCCATCCATAGAAAGTTTGAGAGATTGTTCACACAGCGCCAAAGGTTTCCCTACTTTCACCTATGTTCTCGAATGACGTTCAAAAAACATTTCCTGCTATCAACATTCAAATTTCAAAGTGCAGATGAAACTTGGTTGCCACGAAGTCTATTGGTTGATATAGTTTCCTGAAAATATATAAAGGCAAAGTAAGCATAAACAAGATGAAGAAAAATATCATTTGGGTGTCAGCCAATGATCAGAAAATAGAACCAAACATGCCAAGGATTATTGCCAAACCCACTTGTCTGCCCCTTGTGAGCAACTAAGAGACACCTCCCTATTAAATACTAATTAATATACAAAAAGAATTAGGATCAACCCCATATTCATAGACGCACTAAAAATGTAGACAGACTATGCTGCAATCCAACAGAGTTGAGAAAAGGAT